TGTCTATCACCACAGTCCTACTGGACACTGCTGATCTGGTGACCTGAACCTTGGATGGGGGACTGTGCTAGGGATGGTGCAGGTGGCTTGACCCAGGGCAGAGGCAAACAAATGGCAGCTTCCATGTCCCATGCTATCCCTGCTGCTGCTCTAGGGCCATGCTGTGTGCCCTCCCTCACCTGGCCTGAGATGAACTGCTCCTTGAAGTGGGTGTAACGCTGGGCCCAGTTCTTCGTTCTTCTGACTGCTCTTGGCTGCCTGAATGAGGAACTTCCCTGAAACCCCATTCTCCTCATTGGTGTAATAAGGCAAGTCTTCCAGCTCAGAGCCTGGCTGCAGAATCAGCAGTGGTCACAAGTCTGTTCTGGGGAGCAGGGCATGAGGGACAGCATGGTGGGGTAGGGAGAGCCTATATCTGCTGTCAGGGAAGGTGAACTCCAAGTCCACCCCTTACTAGCTGAGGACCTGCAAGGCTGAGATCTTGCCCTGTCTGAATCCGTTTACTGTAAAAGGGGATGAAATAGATACCTCCCCTAACTTTCATGCTATTATAAGGATCAAAAGAAATAATCAGCCAGGCACAGTAACTCATCCCAGAAACTCAGAGGCAAACATTGGTAGGACCAGAGTTCAAGGCCAGACTGAGCAAAACGTTAAGAGAGACTCCCCCATCTCAATCAATAAGCTAGCATGGTGGCACACACCTGTCATCCCAGCTACATGGAGGCTATAGGTAGGATTGCGGTCCAAGGCCAGCCTCAGGCAAAAATGCAAGACCCCACCTGAAAAATAACTAAAGCAAAAAAGGGATGGAGGCATAGCTCAAGTGGTAGGGCACCTGCCTAACAAGTGTGAGGCCTGAGTTCAAACCCCAGTACCAACAACAACAACAAAAAAACCAACAAAAAAAAACCCCAAACCAAAAACCAAACATGAAAATGGCTGAGTGCTGCTGGAGAGTGAGGCACAATGTCCCATCCACTCAAAAGTGAAGGCAGCCACCTTTTCTTTCTGTGCCCCACCTGCCTGGTACCCTGCTTCCCTGGAAGAGGCTTCTCCTGTTTGGGACAGTCACAGGAACACCATGGGGATAGGTCAAACTGTTCTGCTGTGGCAGGAGCCTGGGCAGCAACAAGTAGGCTCTGCTGTATCTAGGGGGGGCAGCACCAAGAGCACTGGCCTGAGGTGTTTGTCCAATACCTCTGCTACTGGTTCTGCTGCTCCCTATGTCTATGACAGACCTCTCCTGGGCACCAGCCATGTGCCTGGCACTAGGGAGGTGCGGAGAGACAGATGGCTGGGACCAGTCCTGCCTTCCAGACACTCACAGTCCAGCCTGTTTTTCATCTTCTTCCTCACAAAAGCCCACCTCACCCAAGCATCAGAAGCATCTGTTGGGGAGGGGGTTCTGCAGTGGAGAAGGGTCCACCTGGAGCCTTGGGTCTCCTGGAACATGACAGTATCACTGTCCCTGAGCACTTTCCACATGCCAGGGCCTTCTAAGAGTTACTTTTCATCTCTGTGATTGCCTTAAGAGTTTGCATCACCTCTGTTATGCAGACAAAGCCATCAAAATAAAGAAGAGTTAACAGGCCCAAAGTGACACATCCGATAGGGGACAGAGCAGGAATCTGAACCTGGGTGGGAGCAACTCCATAGCTGGGCTCTGATCCACTGCGTTTTACATTGCCTTCTGACATGATGCTCTTCAGTAAAATGGTTGCTATTCTGGAAAACCTTTTTCTCCTTTAGGAGCTCAGGATGGGAAAGATGGGGAAGTCTGAGAAGCTATGATGTGTCCTGGAACTTCCGGGGCAGGGAGTGCGTGCCATATGCTATGCTAGGATCATATGGAGTCCTGGTGGGACCTGTGGCTGTTTTGCATTCCAAGGGAGCCTTGACCATGCTGGCAGGTGTTGACTGAGGCCTGGTGAAGCTGCAAGGGGGATCAGTGCTCCAAAACAGCGACAGGTCCCTGGACCACTAGTTCCAGAACAAGGCAAGGCCAGGAGGTCACCTTTCCAGCCGATGAAAGCAGTGTTAGGTCTCACTAGCTGTCTCAGGCGGGGTGGACGGCATGGGGGTGGGGAGTCAGGGCGGGGGAGAAACGGAGCGAGCAGGTAGGGAGACTGGCCTGGAGCTGTGACAGCAGGCCAGGTGTGACAAAGCTGTTCAGGGAATGGAAGCATGAATAAGTGACTTTTCCCAGCTGATTAGGTGCTAAGAAAGAAATGCTTCATACAGCACAGTGTTTAAGATCTGGCTCCTGTCCCAGCAGCGCTCTCAAGAACCATGGTGATTTCACCGCTCTGACGCTGGTTTCCTCACCAGCCTTCCAGGGATTCTAACAATTATTGCCATTTCAGCATTGATGCCATGATTTTATGGAATAAGGACTTCATAAAGGTCTTAGTCCAGGGTCCAATGTGTGGTAAGCACTAGCCAACAGCAACTGTCAACTGCCAGAACATCAAGGTAAAAAACAGCAATCACTTCCCCAAAGACATTTGTAGATGCCATGAGCCTCTGGTCTTCAGTCCAGAGTGGCTTGGGGCTCTGGAATTTGTTTCTTGTATATAGTGCTTGCCCAGCTTACTACGATTAAGTCCCCAGGCGTGGGAACCTGATCCTCCACCCACCACTTCATCTGGCAGGGAACTAAGCACATAACAGGGGCCTTTGGACTCCCAGGACACCAGGACTGACAGACCTGTGCAGCTGGATGTCTGATGTGCCAGGCTACTGCCTGGGTGCATGTATGCATGCATGAGCGTGTGTATGCTTACAAGAACAAAGCAGTCTTTGTCCTTGACAGGGTCACAGTTACTGATAAAGGATCTTAAGTCACTCTGTGACAATCTAATGATTCCATGTTTCCAAACCCACCAGCACCTTATGTGACAACTCTCTCCCCCACATGTCACAGCAGCACACAGACACCCTTCTCCTCAGCGGCAGCCCCTGGTCGCTGAAGCAGCTCTCGTGCTGTCCTTCTGGAAAGCCAGCTCCGTCTGGACCCTGTGCAGAACAGGGACTTCCACCTTCAATGGAGGGAAAGGCTGCTTGGTCCTGTAGGCCCCTCCCCATTTTTTTTAATCAGACCCTCCTGCTGGCAGGGCTATGATATGCCTGCTGGAAGGGACCGTGAGTCCCTTGGCCGACCTTGTCTGGATGTGTTTGATCAGCTGTCTCTGGCCTGTGCTGGGGGCCCTGAGCAAGAGGAGCGGCAGGAATGGTGTTTGATCAGAGTGGCTGGGGAGCTCCAGCCACTAGCTGCTCTGGGTCTTCTGATAATCTCTCCTCAAAGGACAAAGAAAAGAGGATGTTCTGCTAGTCTAGCAGGTAACTGAGGAAGCAGGCTCTTCTGGAGTGGAGAAAGGACAAACAAGGACTGCTGCTTGACCCCAACTGCTGGTCCTTCTACATGTCCAACACGGTACTCCCTACTGCCAGGGAAACCAAGACAGCAAAGTGATTCCCCTGTCCTCAAGGCACTCAGAATCCAAACTTTTGAAGTTGAGGAAGGAAAAAGGTACAGACTACACCACTGCCTCCCCATGGTTTCAACTGTGCAGCGGGTGGCTGGGGTAGCCTCAGAGTGTAGGGGAACAGGAATGCTGGGCAAGTAAGACTTCCATGGCTCAGGACTCCAGCCACCCTGGGAAACCTGTCCAAATGTCAGCACAGTGGGCAAGGCTGCAGACATGCAAGGGACAGAGAGGTGTGGATGGGATGAGGGTGCCACTGTTGGGGAAGTGTGTTAAAGAATACAGGGTGCGGCTCCTCTTCCCCTTAGAACAGCGAATCCTCCTGTCTCCAGCAGCAGGTAAGATTTACTAAGCACCCACTGAGTTCACTGTCCAGAGCAAAGTGGACAGAAATCCAAATGTCTCAGTGGACAAGGGACCTATACTCTGGTAGCACTGACAGCTCCTGGTGCCAAGGAAAACATGGGTCTGCAACACCACAGTCCAGCTAAAAGTCACAGAGCACAATCTTTTCAAGTGTGTATTTATTCACACACATTAGTGTGTACTGGACGTTAACAGCTTACAATCCCATTTATACAGCATCACATGGGTCTGCCTGTCCCGACCCTGGGTGTGACAGGCCTTGCTAAGAGAAACCACAGACACCTCCACAATTTGGAGGCAATCTACAGTTAACTTAGGAAATGATTCCTCACAATGTAGTCCCCAAAGAATGGACAGCTACTCTCTTCCTTATAGACCAGGCCAAGAGTGTAGCAAGTTTCTGAGTTTCAGCTGTGCTTCTGAGTTTTTGGCCTAAGTCCTACAAGCCCCAACATTTGTTTCCATGGCAACAAAACAGTGAGCCTGCCCAATACTCCCTTCAACACCAAGTCTTTTATTCCTGTTTTCTTCACACCTCCCAAATATCCTTGGAATCCACTGGGCCAAGCAGAACACAGCTCAGTTGCTGAGTCCCTCCTTTGGGACTAAGGGCTAATTAAAGCATCTTCTCCATTCTTAGCCCCAATTTAAGATGGGGCTAGAAATAGTGCTCGTTTCCCTAAGACTACCTGTTCACTCTACATAAGACCGGTGGTTTCTTTCGTCTCTTAGTCAATACAGGTTCTCAGGCACATGAAATTCAAAGGCATATACTTCTCACCATATATCATCAGCTCCAGGGATGAGAGAGGATCTTCTCAGGGTCCCCTCTCACCTTTCCCCTCTATTCTGATTGGGCTCACAAATAGAGAGGAGACCCGGTCTCCTCACTCACCATTTATCTGTTCCTCTTCATCCTTCAGGCCTGATTACCAGGGCTCTAGCCTGAGGATGAGGCTACAGGGTTTCCCGTGGGCAGGAGTGAGCCAGAGACTACCTCAGAGGTACCTGTACCCCAGGCAGGCCCAGTGGTCACAACACAGATTCGGTACTTGCTAGGCCCCAAGTTTCTCAAACACAGGGCTTTGGAGAGTAAGACAAGCTTTATAAACTAAGCAAGACAAAAAAAAAAAAAAAAAAATCTGTCTCTGCCACACTGTGACCCCTCTGGTCCAGGTTCCACTCATGCATTCAGACAGTAAGAGTCTCCTCTACTTAAGTAATCCATGTTCTTCAATCGACTTGCTGCCTACTTACCTGCAATGGGCCAATCTTGCTCCCTAACTGACCCCGTCATCCTGGTAGAATCAGACACTGTTAAGAATCTGTCTTTCCCTCCTTACCAGCTGATTATAAGCTCTAGGAACAGAGAAGACCTGGCACCCCACTAAGTACATCGTGTATTCCACTGTGAAAGCCCCAGAGTTCTGCCCAGGGCCATGAGGTAAGGAGACCGGTTAAGAATGCCCTTCATGAAGTGGTTCAGGCCTTGTGGGCAGAAGTGGTAGAACTGAAATTTTTCTACAATAAAATGTTCTCTAGAAAGTAGCTAAGATCTCAGTCAGCTCAGAGCAGACACCAGATTTAGGATGGCCTCCCTGTGCTTCTGATGAGAACCAGCCCTGGGTTTGTCCTCCTGACAGTATGCTTGGGAGGAACGCATCTGACAGGCCTGGAAACAAGTCTGTCTTCACCACTGATCTCAGCACAGCTAGCTTCGGTCTAGTGACTCTGAAGAAGAAAACCTAATTCAGGGTTTTTTAGTGCTGATACTTGGGTTTAAAACTCAAGAGTTTTTAATTCAGGAAACTTTAAAAGGCATTTTCTCTTCAGCGTTTTTTTTTGGCAGGAAGAAGTTTTTGTGACACTGCAGTTACTAACTCTACCCCATGAGTTTGAGGCAACCCATTCTTGCCTGCTGGTCTTGGCAGCGAGGCCTGGAAGCACTGCCACTCCACTGTCTTTCAGTGGGTTTTATCTGGTGCTAAAGAGAGTCAGGCCATTTGCCACTTTCAGGCTAAGATCTCCCTTTAGTCTCTGCCAGCCACAGACTGAGAAATCTTAAGATAAGAACAACTGTGGTATAAACAGTGAGGTCTTCCCAGGGAGGCGAAGTCTTAAGGTTTGAGCACCATCTTCTGGTCAGTGGCTTCTGAGGCTGACTTGCCTTTAAAAACTTAATTTACTTCAGAATGGGAAGACCATTCTGGTTGGGTGTGATGGTGCATGCCTATAACCCCAGCACCTGGGAGGCTAAGGCAGGAGAATCACAAATTTTAGGGCAACCTGGGAAACACAGCAAAAAGCAAAACAAAACCAAACCAAGACCACCAGGATGGGAAGTTCCCTGAGCTGACAAGCTCATGTGATTTACCTATCAAAATGAAGATAGGACCAGGGGCTTAGGGTTACATGTTTAGAGTGGGCTGGCCAGAGCCAGAATCCACCTGTGGAAACGGTCACAGGGCTGCCTGCACAAAGTCAATGTCAATGGCTAGCCCTTAAACCAACTGGTCAGTGTTGGGGTTCTGCCCTCTGCTCTTTTAGCAGGGGTACCATTTGCCTGGCTGGCAGCAGACCAGATTTGACGCCACCTCTGTACATGGTCCTGGGAGATGTGCTTAGAAAGAAAGGTAGGCTTATCTTTGGGTGGCACGAGATTGAGCAACCAAATCTGGTAGGGAATTAAGTCGCCTGCAGTGGCAGGGAGCCCTGCCTATTGTGTAAACACTGCACTGGCCCACTTCAACCTTTGGGCACCCAGGAAAGAAGATAAACGCTACTCATTCTCTTTAAGCAGCAGGAACCTACAGCCATCTAATTGCACTTCATATGGATTCCACAAGCCATTAATTACCAGATTATATTTTAGGAACTAAAGATAAAAAGCCTGTGAAATTCAGACTCAGAAAGCTCCCTGACCTGCAGTGAGTATGCAGTCTGGGAATGCTGACAGTAGGCCAAGCACAAAAAACATGGGCTGGTGGCAGGAGCAGAGCCAGGGGCCATCTCCCAAGAAGAACCTGCCCATGCTGGTTCATTAGCAACATCACACACTCAAGAGGAAGCCAGAGAGAGGCCTCTAGGTTTGGGAGAAGGTTTAGCCTTTGATTAACGAAAGGGGATGAGGAGAACATGGGAAGGAGCTATGGGAACCAGCTTTCAACTGTCAAGAAAGAAGTGCCATGAAGAACACCCTAGGAAAGCAGAGTGTGTCTTCGCAGCTGACAGCCCCACATGAAATGCTTCCCCCTGTCAGAAACACTCCAAAGGCTGTAATTTGGGGAGGGTTGACTCTATCGATCAGGTGGGACCAGGAATGAAAATGAGGGCTTCCTGCATTATTAATACTGCTACCTTCCTACTGCCGCACTAGTGGGCACTGCCACTGGATGCAAGGGGACCTGAGGTGGCAGGGTGGGGTTTGGGGTGATTATAGAAGTAAAGAAGAAGAATGTGTTCAAGGCTGGGGTACCCAGAGGCTCTGCTGTGCTTGTCTCTCATTTTGCAATGGCTGAGGCACTGACAGTATTTGTAGCCCCCCTCTGCAGGCCCAGATGCACAGCTAACTGCCTTCCTGCCTGCTAAGAACTGCTGGCACCTTACACCTTCCTGGCCAGCCTGTTCACCAGCCTCCATCCCACTGCTCTTTCAGAACTAGACTTCCCTGGGGTGGGGCAGTGTCCCGGGCCTGAGCCCAGCCTGTGGAAGGGACGATGGTGTTGACAATGACTCAGACACTATGGGTTCTATAACAATAGAGTCTCGCTGTCTTTCTGTCTGTTTTCCAAGTGAGACCGCTGGGATTGGTGCTGAGATTTCTCTCTGGTGCAATGCAGGTGCCCAACCAGATGAGCAGCCATTCACTTGGCCTCACCACAGATCAGGGTGACGGTGCCATCCAGCAAATCCTCCACAGTCACTGCTACAAGCTCAGAGCTGGTTTGAGATGTTTGAGAATCTGGCAATGTCACAAAGACCTGTGAGTTAGCAAGCTGGGACTCCTCCAAAGTGATCACCTGCTCAGTGGGGGCCGCTGGCTCTGGAGTCTGGATTACCTGAAAGGGAAAGACCAGAAGCTGCTTTGGGCAGTGTCCACAATGAACTCCCCAGAATTTACATGTCTTCTACCTCATGCTATAATGATGATATTTATGTTTTCACCTGAGGAGAGCAATTACTTGTGCCTAATGGGAAGAGGCAAGTCTAACACACCAGTGATGCAAAAGAGAAGGCAGGTGAACAATTTAAATAACTCTGTGAACTAAATTGCTATAATTTCACACAGTGCGTCATCTCAGGGCACACAGACTCTATGATTACACACCAGTGAACATGGGCTCAGTTTCTCACACTGGGATTTCTTATCTCCAGGATGACACTGCAGAAGTGAGAGCCATTTGAGAGAAAACCCACTAGAGATGGTGGGTCTCAGCCTGAGATATAGAAATAAGAATGACTTACAAGAAGCCTAGGGCTGCCAAGGTGGTATCTGTGGACCTTTCTGGGGCTGAAAGCCTCCTTGGAGGTTGCATGACTGCAGAATTCAGTTGGAAGAAAGTGACAGGACCGTGGTTTCTACCACCTCATCCATTCGGCTCAGTGGCTGGAGGGGCAGGCTGGTTAGTGGCTTGTCTCCTCTACAGGCCACAAATACCCCTCCCATGCTTGCATCATCTGCCCAAGATGGCCTTCTCAGCTCCAAGTACTATTTTGTGGCTAGGCACACCTAGACCAGAGAGGTTCCTGCTGAGCCTCCAAGTGGAGGCTTCTGACCTGTGGACCCCAGGACAGCTTGATGCCCTTGGTATCTCTAAACCAGTATGCCCCAAAGGGCATAGCCACCTGGCTCCTGAGAACCAGTCAAGAGCGGAGAGCAGGCACAGATGAGGAGGCCAAGCTCAGCACTGCTCTGTGCTCCACAGTGAGATCGACTTTGGCTTTCAATCAACAGTGGTCTAGCTTGATAGTTTCCAAACTCTTTTCCTTTCTTAGAATTAAGCTGTTTCATCCCCCACAAAGGTGACCTTACCAAGAACCCTAATTTCTAAAAATCTTTAGACAGCAGAGTATGACTCTGGCTGGTGTTCCACCAGGAGCATCTGGAGTCCTGCCCACCTGACCTGCCCTCTGTTCCCCAGAGGCCACAAAACATGAGTGGCTTACAACTGACTCAGCTACAAGACTGGACAGGGGACCAGTCTAGCAGATGAAGCCTCCATCAATTTATAGCTCCTCTTTAGCATTTTCATAAATCACTAACAGCAGTAGAACTCAGTTTCTTTTCCTTTTCTGCCCACCCTCTCTGAAGGACCAGGGAAACAAAGAGGTAGGATCAAGGTTGGCCTTCATTTCACTTTGTTTTTTGGCGGCACTGGGTTTGAACTTAGGACCTCAAGCTTGCTAAGCAGGTGCTCTTACCACTTGAGCCACTTCACCGGCCCAAGGTTGGCCTTCAAACATCAAGAGGAGGTGGACTTTTCACCAGGTGAGGTTAGAGACCCAGGCATAGGCAAGCATGTGCTGCACGTGGCACAAAGGAGCTGTCCACAGGCTTCACCTGCCGGTGGTCTCTGTGCAACAGAGCTCAGCCCTTCTCCAAGGTTTCCTGTGACTCTTATCACACCCCACAGTGCTTCTCAGAGGTGGGAAATGTGTGAATTGGGAAGATAAACCAAGGCCATTCCACTTTTGGAAATTCTTGTTTCAAGCTCCCTCTTATCTAGGTACCACCAGAAGATTAGAACTTTCTGATCTGTTTGGTCAGAGGCCCAGAGACCCTAAGACCATTAAGACGTCACTTAATGGTCCCTTTAAGAGTCCCATAGAGCAAGACTGGCTGGTGGGACACAAGTGCCTCCAAAGAGGCTCCAGGAACCCTGTGTTTGCACTCTATGTACTTAATGGCCCCAGAATCACCTGTACCACCTGTGAAGCAGCTGTCTGGGCCTCAGTGCCCGTCAACTTTGGGTGCTCAGACTCCAAGTGGCTGTCAAGCTGAACCTGGGAGGTGAAGAGCTCCCCACAGAGCTCACAGGGGAAGGTGCTCTCTGACTGCTTGAAGTGCTCTGTGGTGACGTGGTGCTGCAGGGCTCCAGGAAAACGGAAAGTAGCTGCACAGTACAAGCACCTGAATGGCTGCGACCCTGTAGGAGGGGAGGCAGAATAGATGGGCTGAGTTGCTCACCAGAGCAGGGGAGGTGAGAGGAACAGTGAGGACTGAGGTGAAGAGGCAAAGCCAGGTTTCATGGGGCCTGAAGCTTGTAGGATTTGAAAGGATCTCCTTATAAAACAGCAAATGCAGAAGCAGATGCAGAGCCTTGGAAGGGTCCCCTACAAGTGAAGGACCCTCAAACTATAGTTTCATTAGCATTCAATTTAGACTGAATCTGCTTCTGCTGAAGTCCATCATTCTTCAATAGTAGACAATGATGCTGACAATACTATATTTCGTCAGTTTTAAGAATTTTAAGGAGTACATTTTAAGATCTCTGAATAGGATCAATGGTGCCTCCCTCTGACTGCTGTGGACCAGATGGCAGTCAGACACAATTTTCAATGGCCATGCAAGAAATCAAGGCTTGTAGAACATGAACCCACAGCTTGGAAGAATAGCCCTAAGACAGCATGGTACACACCTTTAACTCACGGGGACCAAATAATCCTGGAGGGAGGAGGTAAATGCTGAAGGGTTAGCTGCAGTCACAAACCAGGAATCAAAGGAAATATAGTGGTGTGGTGTGTGTGTGTGTGTGTGTGTGTGTGTGTGTGTGTGGTACTTGGATTTGAACCCAGGACTCTATGCTTGCTAGGCAGGCACTCTACCACTTAACCCATACTCCAATCCCTAAAGGAAGCCTAGTTTTACATAATGTTCATGAGGCCATGGCAGAGTAAGCTGTGGGAAAACAAGCCCATAGACAGTTGGGCTTGAAAGGTCCCATGAGGCCAAATTCTTCCCTTCCTTGATTTATTCCTGATGTTTTCTTTCTTGTGTATGCACAGAAGAGTACGTGACATGATGAAAATCTAAGTCAAATTAAGACTAAAATAGCACTGAGAATAACCTATAAACTCTGATAAGAAACATTGTCTAATTGGTAGTACTTTCCTTTCTAAATGGTTCATTTAAAATGGTACATCATATAAGTGGCATTTTTAATTTGATGAAATAACATTGACAATCACGGTTAACACTTGAGGGATGCTCACAGGTGACATCTCATGAAGTTGGGTACTATAATTGCTCTCCTCTTTCAGATAAAGAAACTGAGGTACAAGTCAGTTAAGGGACTTAGCCTGGGATGAGTAGCTGTGAGTGGTGGGGACAAGACTCACACTCAGGCAGTTGTGCTCAGGGGTGTGCAGAAGGGGCTCTGACCTGAATGCTGACATTTGATGTGAACCTGTAGCAGAGCTGGCGTGGGGAAAAGCTCTTTACACTGGTCACACTCATGGAACTTCAGATCTGTAAGTGTAAAAGGAAAAATGTAGTGAGAAAGGAAAAAGGATGGCTCTTCTGAGGCTGGAGGGTGAGGGAGCTGGGATGTGTAAGGACTCATACTCCACAACATATCCACCAAGTGCTTGTACCTGGGGAGACTCGTGCACGCTAGTGATAAAGAGCATGGACTTGGTCCAGACTGTCTGGACACAAAGAGGGTTGTCAGAATTAAATGGCAAACTATACAGTGTGTGTGGCTGGTGCCCTGCATACAGGAAGTGCTTTGCAACTGACAGTTGTGATTATTCTCAATTTACCTGCAAGGTAGGTGTTAATAATTCCCATTCTCAAGAGAAAAAAACAGATTCAGAAAAGAGACGTCACACACCAAGACTTAGCTGGTAAATGCTGAAGTCAGAATTTCTACCTGGGTCCTACTGACATCCACTGACACCCTTCCCATGTGCTGAAACTGAGTCTCGCTTGGGAGATGTAGGAGCTTACAATGCTGTAGGCTTCCAGGTTTGAGAATTGCTGCCACTCAAGCTACTGAAGTGTGGGAATGGAGTCCTTCAGGTGTGCTGCGCACAGCAGAGGTGGCCACCACAGCACATTACGCTGAAGCACTGGGAGCCACCATCTCTGGACAGAAGCCAGGTGCTAGACCATTAAGCCTATCCCATGTGCCAGCTCACCCTCTGGGCACCAACTTCACCTGCATGCTCTGCTTTGATGTGTGCCTTGTGTTCGATGGTACTGGAAAAGGTTTTGTCACAGGAGCTGCACTGGAGGGATGAGAACTTGGATGATCGATGGTTCTGAGCTGCAAACACGTCTGGGTGGTGGGTTCGATTGTGGTACCACAAACCAGATAATTGCTGCAAGCAATTTAGCAAGTGTTAAATCTTAGAAAGTTCCAGCAAGCTAGAGGACTCATGAGATTCTCATGAAAGACAGAGAATGTTCTGTGACAAGCTCATGGATCTAGAATCACACCTTGAGAGCCTGTCACCTGAGTGTGGACATGAGAGACTGGTGTTAGTGCGAACAGGCAACTGTGAATTCATAGAGGGGCTATTATAGCAGGGTTCAGCTGGTCCTCCGTAAGTTCTCACTCTTCACAACAATCTCACAAAGGGGTGTTAGGATCTTCCCAAAGAGGCAGAGGCTGAGGCCCAGAGGGGCTAACTGACTTTCCCAGGGTCATATGATGAGTAAATAGTGGGACCAATGACACCCTGGCCTCCTGATGCACAGCTAATCTTCACACTGAGCCATATCTCATTGCTTCCCAGAGCCCAGGGGTGTGGTGCAGTACCTGCTGAAGTAGGAGCCCTTGGGCTACTGGAGCAAGTATCCCTCTTTCCCTGGATACAGAGAGTACAGGAACATTCTTTAGCTTTCCTTGGTCTCCCAGGGTTCATGCCCAGGCTTACTCAGTTGTCATACTAATGTCACAGCATGAGGCCTGGCACAAAGTCAGCCCTCCATGTCTAATGTGCTCTGCTGCTCTGTCTAAACTTCTGCCTTACAGATGTGAGCAAGGACGATTCTTTTCTCTGAGACCAGTTTCTGACAGATGTGGTTTCTTTTTAGACCTATATGGGGTTTCACTTTGATTGCACACCAAATTCTATCTTGAAAGCACAGAGCCCTTCTCTGGAACTTAAAAACCAACTAAATGAGAATTGTGCTCAACTAAGTAATTCTGGGTCATTCTCATGTCCCTCAATACATGGGGTAAGTAGGTTTTACAGAATGGGAGCATCCAAGAAGAAAAGAGCATCAGTTGTTCATGACAAGACTGAAATTTAAAAGGTGTAAGAACTTCATGCTTTAAGTAGAGCTCTTCCACTGCATCACTCTGACCAGATCTTTGCAAAGAAACCCAATTACAAGCTCTGTCCATATTTTATATATATATATAGTGTGTGTGTGTGTGTGTGTATATATATATATATTTTTTTTTTTCCCCTTTTCTTTACAGTGCTGGGGAAGGGACCTAGGGCCTCATACATGCTAAGTACATGCTCTTCCAATGAGCTACACCCACATCACATTCTTCATGAGACTGAGTCAAACTGTCACATCCTGGAGATGAGCTGGGACAATCTGAAAGTCACAAACATAGAACGAGGGAAGCCAAATGCAGAATGAGGCAAAGGTAAGGGAAAAGCTCCCAGTGGCCCCTGAAGTCACCTGGTAGGCCTTGTTGCAGATCCCACAGCTGAAGGGCTTCCCTCCAACGTGTGTCACCATGTGCCGCTCCAGCATGGAGGGGGCACTGAAGATCTTCCCGCAGGTCGGGCACGGGTGATACTCCTTGGAATGCACCTCATGAATGTGCTTCCGGTGATCCTGTAGAGTAGGGAAACTCATCCTACATTTCTTGCAATCATAAGGATCTTCTATGTCTGGTTCCAGGAGGGGGCATCCATGGGAGGAATAGGCAGAGAGAAAAAACACCACAGGCAAGCAGTCAGTGAAATGCTGGTTGCTGTTACAGCAAGATTAAGACTTCATTTAGATTTTGTGCATGGTCAGTCAGTGCAGCAATCCCCTGCTCACTCCTACCTTTACCTCTGAGCTTTCTGGATTAACCAACTCTGCAGCATCAAATGGCTCATCTCAGTTTCTCATTTCATGTCTTAATGTTAAATTCTATTCTACTTTCCAGAATTACTCTTGCTCACTTTGCCGGTATACAGAGATGTTTGCGTTTTCTACTTCCTCGTAGATTTCTAATACACTCCCCAGAGCATCACTGTTTCTTTTGTCATCAGCAGTAGGAGTGCTTCCTTGATCTCCCCTTGAGATTCAACAGTGAAACCTTTGTACAGTTGATGCTTAATGAATGCTCTATGGCAGGCATGTGTGAAGCGCTCTATGTACACTCCCTTAATCCCTCCAACGGTCCTGTTTGTTGGTTCTACTGCCATTCTTATTTTACAGATTAGGAAAGTCAAGGTTTCGGGAACTAAATTAGTACCTTACCCAAGGGCGTATCTGAGCCCAAGCTCAGAGCCACATCCTTAATTGGACATGCCAATTCCTTAGTGGGATCTCAAAAATAACAACTAGCACCGATGAAGAACACATCTCCCATCCGGATGGCAGAAAACTTGCTTTTTCTTAATAAAACAGAAAGCAAAAGGTTTTAACAGTAAACTCCTTTGCCCCCAAGCCAATGTTAGGTGTGCACTGACTCAGACCTGCAGCAGCCTTAGGTATCACTAGCTCTTGAACTCCCAGGTTCACAGTCTTTTAGAACACCCCAGTGAGGTCTCCATGAGCAATGATATGGCCCTAAGAAGCAGACGAGCACACAGCCTGGAGTGGGACAGGATGCTGCAGCTGCATGGGTGATGTCCTCTAGGGCATATTTTGGGTTCTCAAATTTAAGTCTTCCCCTTTCCTGATTCTTGTGTAATACAACTGGGAAAAGAAGACTAAAGCAGAATGTCATTTCAAGAGGTCAAGAAGACATTAAAATTGTGGCACTGGATCCAAGCCAAATTCCACTCATCCAGAAGTCTACTTTAAATGTTTTTTTTTGGATAATTTTACAACTCCTTGGGGGAAAAGGACCACACTTTGTATTCCTCCTGCATGCCCAGTATCCAGCCACATGTTGGGCACTAGGAGCTCTGGTAAAGTCCCTGATGGACACAAATGTGGATATGTTTACAAGGCCACATGTAGTGAGATGCTATTTGCCAATAGCCAGAAACTGGTACAAGGGAAGAAGGGTGGGGAGAGGAGAGGGGAAGAAGGGTATGTAAAGTGCCTGGTACACAAAAGAGACACTCTGATGGTGACAGATGGTGCCTGACAGGGGTGTGCTTATCAGCAATAATAGCATTATCTGGCATTTATGGAGCATTTCTATGTGTCAGGCATGGAACTTCATGCTTTACATGTGATGTCTCATTTAATTCTTACAACAATCCAAGGTGGTGGCATTATTATTTGCACTAGTTTGGAAGGGGCTTAAGAGACTTAGCAAGGTAAAGAAATTTAAGGTCTCTAGAAAAGTGTCAGGGTCAAGATTCAAGTCCAAGCTCTCACTCTCTTGCCATGCTGTGTTAACTACACTCTAGCTGCAACAAGGAAGGCTGAAGGAAATGCAACCAGTCAAATGATACAGCATTTCTTTTTGCTTTGTGTGTGTGTTGAATAAAAGTGTGTATATTTGTTTGTATCGGTTCTAGTGGAAAGAGAGGAAGGTGGGGTCAGACCTTAATAACTGAGTGAAATACAATGGCACATGGGAAGAAGGTTTTGAAGGGAACATGCTAGGCTCACCTATAGCATAGATGCTACTAACTCAGGAAGGGTCAGTCTTGCTCCTCTGGGAAAGGCTGACTTGAATTATTAGTTGAGTGTGGAGGAGGAGGTGGAATGGAAGCTCAGTGGATTAATGGAATCATCACTGTGCTCTGTGAGTCCGCTAGTGAGAGACTTCTTCAAACATAATATGTTTGTGCTAGCCAAATAGTGTGATGTTGGCTAAAGAAAAGAAAAAGAAAAGCCCGGATAGAGAGAAATGATATGCTAGAATGGGATTCTTCTTGAAACAGGAAGGAGGGACTGTGGGTTTTGCAGAAGAGCAGGGGATGGAGGGTAGGTATTGAATGGGCCCAGCTCTCGTGAAGTGACTGTTAATTTGCACCTTCAGTGCCAAGCCTGGCCTGAAGTGTCTGACATCCACGATCCCAGTACGTACTGTGAAAGGTGTGCAGGTGAATGGAGAGGCCATTGGCTTGCCGGAAGCCCTTGCCACAGTCCCTGCAGACGTATGGCTTGTCCCCAGTGTGGGTCCTCACGTGGCGGGACAGTTCAATGGACTGGGCAAACACAGCATCACAGTACTGGCACGCGTACATCTTCCCTGCACACACATGAGCTTGTGAGACCGAGCCCTAAGCATTTACCTCATTTTTACAGACAAAATCAAATTCTAAGGCACCAAGGAAATGTCATTTGGGAGATGACATTAAAACCTCAGGCAATCTGTAACATACTGGGCAAGGACGGTTGGACAGAGGAATAGGGACAGAGTTCTCATTATGCAAGAGAATCCACCTGTTTATCAGACTCCCACAGGAGAAAGAGCTCATTGCACTTCTAGAGAGCACATACATCCTCCTACCCAGAAATGTGTGTGTTTAGATCTTTTTAAAAAACAGATCTTTTTAAAAAACAGTGTGGGTTTCCAACCACACACAAAGCATGTGCTTTCAGGAAAGAGTGAAAACCTTCTTCCAGTGACTTGCTATAAAGTCACTACCCATACCTTGGTTTCTTCATTTTCTCATGCAAACAAGAACTTAACGAAGAGACTGTTAGGAAGACGGGTAAAGAGCAAGCCTGGAGCACTGGCATTTGTAAGAAAAGCTAGACCAGCTTAGCTGAGACTCCCAGCTTCCTTGAGGGCTGGGAGAGCAAGTAGCCATCAGGAAGGTCACCCTCCCTGACCCTAGGCCACTACAATTAGAGCAGGCAATCTGGTTTTCATTTTTTACTTATTGGACTTTAAAATAAGATTTTGTTAGGAAAAAAGTTTCTTCCCTCAATGACTGAGATTGGGGGGCTTGGTTCCTGACCTTCTCTATGTTACCTTCTAGAGGATCTTATCTCAGCACCACCTGCTAAGTGCTACTTCTGGCTTTCCCCTGAACTCGACTTCATGCCCAACTCCCTCCTGTTCTTTGTACAGCTCCACTCAGAGCTGCACTGGGTGCCTCAAACTGACCACATCCATCCAAAACAGCACTCCTGATGCTCTGGCCCTGACACACTACTGTCCCCAAACCTAGAACATGGCAGCATTACTCCCGCAGTTCTCACATCCCAAACCCCAAAGCCATCCAGAATTCCCTTCTCCCTCACATTCCACATTTAATTCAGTAGGAGTTCTGTTACCTCCACTTTCAAAATTTTATCTGCAAACATGGACATTTTTCTATTCCCCACTAACCTAACTCTAGTTGAAAACTCACTGCCTCTTCACTGAAGGACTACAACGGCCTCCCACCATGGCTGTCTATGCTTTTGCCCCAGAACAGCACATCGTCCAGAGTACATTTTTAGAGCATGAGTCAGAGCCCGTATCACCCTGCTGCTCAAAACTCTCTGATGGCTTCATGCTTAAACTACACATCGAAGCTCAAGCAATTCCTGGCCTTATGGAAATTCTGTAGTACAAAGTGCTAACACCATGCCAGCCAGCCTCTGACATGCCTCTGCAGATGGGTCCTTGGTCCTTCATGTGCTGGAATTTCCCGAGAGATCTATCATGTCTGATGTGGAATGGGTTGAGGCAGCTCCCCTAGGAAAGTCTGCAGGAGACAGAACACAGAGTCCACCTCACCTTCAGAGTGCTTCTTCTTGGTGTGGTAGGCCAGGGCTGAGGCCTGTGTGAAGGTCATGAGGCAGTGCTTGCACATGAATGGGCGGTCCCCAGTATGTAGGCGGAGGTGGTTCTTCAGAGTAGAGTTGGCTGCAAACTTTGCCCCACATTCCTCACAGGAGAAAGGCTTCTCATCAAAGTGCTCCGTCAGCTTGTGATACTGCATGCCTGTAAGTGTGCCCAGGACCAGAAGAGACATGGCAGTCAGCTTTAGGAGTCCAGTAAGGGATGCCTAAGTGCAGTCTCAGGCCAGGTTCAAGAGGAGGCAACGTGTGAACTACATGAGGCCAGCCATGCTTGCTTATGCCTTGCATGTCACCGCATTCATGTGCCCACTAACCTGCATGTCCAAAGTCACCTCGGCTCACTCCTAGCTGAAGCAGGCATAAAGTGATCTTTCCTCATCCCCTTTCTCTCTCTTAAATAGGACAAGCCACTCAGAAAAGGGAAACAAAGTTTGCTTTTATGCTTCACTAGATTTACCCAACACGGGGACAAAGGAAAACAACTTGGGACTATATATCCCATGGTTTCCATGACTCTTGTTTGTTATCAAGAAGTGGTACATGGAAACCTATGAACCAAGTGTTAAATAACTGGTTGTTGTTATGAATTACAGCTGTATATTACTGTGTGCTAATTCTATTATAGGCACTGTGCTAGGTGTTCAGCTCTGCTATCTTCAAATTTCCTAACAATGCAAAAGAGTAAGCGGTATCAGGGGACCAATTTCATAGAGTCCATGCTCTTCTCAAAATATCATCTGCCTCTGTAAGGACCTGCTCTATCTTCTAGGCCCAGTCACACCCCTCATGGCAAACAACCAGGCTGGAACCCAAGCTATAATATCTGCAATGATTATCCTACATGACTTCACTTCTTGAATGTACCTGAGGCATGGGCAAACTCTCTTCCACAGAGGTCGCATGTCACTGGAAGCCTCTTCTTCTTCTTCTTGGGGACATCAGGCTCTCCCCCTGCACCGTGGGCCTCCAGTTGATGCTTCTCCAGATCCTTCTTAGAGTCCTTGGTCTCATTGCAGTCCTTACACTGCACCTGTTTGCTCTTGGCCACCCGGCAGCGCTTCATGTGCACCTTTAGGCGACAGTAGAAATGGAAGCTCTTGTCACAGGCCTTACAGATGAAGCTCTTCTTGGCAGAGTCTGGGGAGGCAGAAGGGTCTTTCTCTTTTTGCTCTGGCAGGGAACCAGTCTCTCCCTGCTCGTTTGGTTCTATAGGCTGGCAGTCTTCTCCAGCTGCCTTGGCTGCCTTCTCATTTTCTTTGTTGTTGGCTTCAAGGTGAAATTTATCACTCATCTTCCACTTTTCCTTGTCTCCATTCTCCTTAGTAAGGAAACCTGCATAGGAGAGAAACGCATGGCTCTGAAGAAGTCTGTTTCTACTTTGCTGTATAACTTTTCTAACACACTCTTAAAGAAGGCTGAAAACCACCAGGGATTCTCAAAGAACTCTGAAGTAGTAACAGTGCCATTTTTACTCCCACTAGACACAGATGGCATCATGTCACATCTGTGTCCTCTGGCTGTATTAGGTATTGAAATTATACTCAAGGAACAAATAGCTTGAGGTACAGTACCCTCTTATATGAACCACTATTACTTTCCCTCAATAAAGAAAGATCCTGGGCCCAACATTGCTTACCAATGTATGCCAACTCCTGCATGACTGGTTGCAGGCTGGGGAAAGATCTGTGGATACTGCACAGGAGGCGACAGATTTCAATGGCAGAGACTGACTTTTCCATAGCTCTGCTCAGCATTGCTCTCAGGGAAGCTTCAGGGCTGGCTGTCTCAGAGGAAATGCTCAGAATCTAAATGAACAGCATAAGACAAAGGGGCAGGGTCAGTATCAGCAGATTTTGTCCATGCTTTTCTAGCTAAAAAACAAGTGAATTCCAGGAGCCCTAGCTCCATCTATAAGTACTTTATTTTCTTCCTCATGATACACGTGGAGTCCTATCTGCCAAAGGACAGAAAAATTAACCAAAAAAAAAAAAAAAAAAAAAGGAGCACTTATCAAGATAAATGTGCAAGTACAGAGATGGTGGTACATCTTTGTTTTCTGTAAGAATTACCTTCTCGCAACCATGCATCTACCAAAGAGATTTTCTATATCCTAACACAAAAAACCTGAAGAGCTATAGGATTTGGTGGCTAGTGTTTCTGTCAATAAAATCTGGGTAATTTTTCATAATATATAATTGTCTCAAGGTCTGGGAATAATTCTGCATGATCAGTGGCTTCTTATTTTTAGAAACTTAGATGCACCCTTTTAAACATCGTTTTCTTTCATAAAGAGACTCAGCGTTTTAAAGCAGGTTCAAATAGGGGCTTTAAAGAGACCAAGAAAATTATTTCAAAGCCATCCTTTTTCAGAATGTTAGAGCTCTGGCAGAGTCTCAGCACACAGAAAATAAAGCAAAACTATCAACAGATGGCCACATGGACTTTCAAAACTATCAACAGATGGCCACATGGACTTTCATTTGGGAGATATTTTATTTCTGCTCTTTTCAAGTCTATTTAAATAAACTTGATGTCCCTGGAGGCAGGCATGAGACAATTAGTGAGGCTAAAATGAGCAACTGTAGAAGGTCCAGCTCTGAAATATGTGGTACACTAGAGAGAGGCGGGCATATGAGTCTTGCCTCTGGAAACACCTGTCTGAGAGACAGACTGAGGTCAGGCTGTCACCAGTGTGGACAGTCAGACACCTGTCCTTCTGTCCATCTGGATCAAAAGGACATTACAGGTGTATCTGTATTTTAATGTTCCTTTATTATTCTTCCCTGCTCAAGATGAACATGATCCTGGGCTGAACAGCTACAAATCCCATCCAAATCCACACCTGGCTCTTCTGGCCACACTGTGAGAAGCTTCACAGAAAATGAGTTGGCAATACTTGCTACCCTATATGGGCAAGAGCTTTGTTCGTTCTGTGTTTGTCTTGGCTCTTTCAAGAAGCCAGAATAGAAAATGTAGTAAGATCAACTTTCCTTCATTTGAGAGAATTTGTTTCTTAGAACACATTAGAGATAATTGTGGTTTCCCTTGAGATGTTTCTAGGCTTACACAACTGGAGTCAGCGCAGGGTTGAGTTGTGCATCTGGCTTCACCCCTTACTTGTTGGAGCATCCTAGGTGTGTAACTTAACGGTGTGGAGCTTAAGCTCCTTTCTCTGTACAATGTGATAGCATCACCTGCTGCCTGGAGTTGGGAGGAGTAAAAGAGCAAAGGTGGTATGAAGAGCTCAGCCTAGTGTGAGGCAGAGCAGGGACCCTGCAGAGGAGGCTCCTCCTTGAGGAAAGAAGATAGTCCTAGGCATCACCCTGCCAAATTCTCCCCATTTGATTGCTTTTATTGCCCCGCACCTCTTTCACAGTCTTGGCCACATGCTCTTCCTCGTCCGAGAAGTGTTGGAGCACAATCTTCTGCTGGATGGCCTCTGTGATCAACGTGCTGTGTTTCAGGACTGCTTCTAGGACAGTGCTTTCTGGGGCAGACACTGAAAGAGAGGGAGACTGTAAACTCAAACTGTAAGTACCATTTTCCCCTTCACCTCTCAACTCAAAACTCTTCATAAAGAGAACACATTTCATATGTCTCCTCCAGGGCCAGGAGTGAAGAAAATGGCAAACAGCACTGTAGTCAGAGTATAATAACAAATATAAGCTCAGAATAATTACTGCATATTTTGTGTTTCAAAAAGATTTACAAACACCTATGTCCCTGAACAAAATTGTCAGTCCTTGCTTTTTTAAAATTAAGACTAAAAATTGTATATATTTATGGGGTACCAGGTGCACATGTGTGCAATGTTCAAGTCAGAATAAGCACATCCATCTCCTCAAACATTTACCAACTCTCTAAACACACTTCAATTAATAATTCTTTCCTTCCAGCCTTGTCCGAAGCCACGTGTTGTTAGAGCTATCTCCCCCCCCCCTTTTTAATGGTCAACCTTTATTCTTGCTTTTCAGGAGAACATGGAGAATTTACTGTTTCTCTTCTTTTTATCCTATTCATTTTTGTGTTAGTGGACGTGGATTTGTCTATCTTTTGTATATTTAGAGGAGCTTCTTTCTACTTCCTCTGGGAGGTTGTGATTATGTTGTTTTTGTTCCTTTAGTGTTTGCAAATTAAATATCTATTCCTTTGTCATTGTTTAGGGCAAGTCAACGTTTATTCTGGCCCTGGAAGATAAGCACTTGGTGCTGGGCTCTCCTCTTATCCATGTATATTTGCTATTTTCTTTATATTGTTGCATGTGTTCTTTTCGTTTTTCTCTGATTCTGTCTTAGTGTAGCCTATGCTTGTGTCAATATTGTGTCTTTGTCTATGTATATGATGTCTGCTTTTATATATTGTCTTACTTAATCTAGTGTGTCTATAATTATTTACCTTTATCTTGTGATTGTCTATTTATGTCTGTGTGATCTTTAATGCTCTCTCTATTATTATCTCTTCATATTGTGTCGTCTATGTATTTTTTTTTTTTTTTTTTTTTTTTTTTTTTTTTTTTTGTATCTTATTTGTTTTTTTTTTCTTTTTTTTTTTTTTTTTTTTTTTTTTTTTTTTTTTTTTTTTTTTGTGCTATCGTTTAAAGAGACACTTTTCCAGTAGCTGCGAGTAATGTTTTTCCTGGAGTTTTTTTTTCATTTTTCTTTTATTATTCATATGTGCATACAAGGCTTGGTTCATTTCTCCCCCTGCCCCCCCCCTCCCTTACCACCCACTCCACCCCCTCCCCCCCCCCTCAATACCCAGCAGAAACTATTTTGCCCTTATCTCTAATTTTGTTGTAGAGAGAGTATAAGCAATAATAGGAAGGAACAAGGGTTTTGCTGGTTGAGATAAGGATAGCTATACAGGGCATTGACTCACATTGATTTCCTGTGCGTGGGTGTTACCTTCTAGGTTAATTCTTTTTGATCTAACCTTTTCTCTAGTACCTGGTCCCCTTTTCCTATTGGCCTCAGTTGCTTTAAGGTATCTGCTTTAGTTTCTCTGCGTAAGGGCAACAAATGCTAGCTAGTTTTTTAAGTGTCTTACCTATCCTCACCCTTCCCTTGTGTGCTCTCGCTTTTATCATGTGCTCATAGTCCAATCCCTTGTTGTGTTTGCCCTTGATCTAATGTCCACATATGAGGGAGAACATACGATTTTTGGTCTTTTGGGCCAGGCTAACCTCACTCAGAATGATGTTCTCCAATTCCATCCATTTACCAGCGAATGATAACATTTCGTTCTTCTTCATGGCTGCATAAAATTCCATTGTGTATAGATACCACATTTTCTTAATCCATTCGTCAGTGCTGGGGCATCTTGGCTGTTTCCATAACTTGGCTATTGTGAATAGTGCCGCAATAAACATGGATGTGCAGGTGCCTCTGGAGTAACAGTCTTTTGGGTATATCCCCAAGAGTGGTATTGCTGGATCAAATGGTAGATCGATGTCCAGCTTTTTAAGTAGCCTCCAAATTTTTTTCCAGAGTGGTTGTACTAGTCTACATTCCCCCAACAGTGTAAGAGGGTTCCTTTTTCCCCCATCCTCGCCAACACCTGTTGTTGGTGGTGTTGCTGATGATGGCTATTCTAACAGGGGTGAGGTGGAATCTTAGTGTGGTTTTAATTTGCATTTCCTTTATTGCTAGAGATGGTGAGCATTTTTTCATGTGTTTTCTGGCCATTTGAATTTCTTCTTTTGAGAAAGTTCTGTTTAGTTCACTGCCCATTTCTTTATTGGTTCATTAGTTTTGGGAGAATTTAGTTTTTTAAGTTCCCTGTATATTCTGGTTATCAGTCCTTTGTCTGATGTATAGTTGGCAAATATTTTCTCCCACTCTGTGGGTGTTCTCTTCAGTTTAGAGACCATTTCTTTTGATGAACAGAAGCTTTTTAGTTTTATGAGGTCCCATTTATCTATGCTATCTCTTAGTTGCTGTGCTGCTGGGGTTTCATTGAGAAAGTTCTTACCTATACCTACTAACTCCAGAGTATTTCCTACTCTTTCTTGTATCAACTTAAGAGTTTGGGGTCTGATATTAAGATCCTTGATCCATTTTGAGTTAATCTTGGTATAGGGTGATATACATGGATCTAGTTTCAGTTTTTTGCAGACTGCTAACCAGTTTTCCCAGCAGTTTTTGTTGAAGAGGCTGCTATTTCTCCATCGTATATTTTTAGCTCCTTTGTCAAAGATAAGTTGCTTATAGTTGTGTGGCTTCATATCTGGATCCTCTATTCTGTTCCACTGGTCTTCATGTCTGTTTTTGTGCCAGTACCATGCTGTTTTTATTGTTATTGCTTTGTAATATAGTTTGAAGTCAGGTATTGTGATACCTCCTGCATTGTTCTTTTGACTGAGTATTGCCTTGGCTATTCGTGGCCTCTTGTGTTTCCATATAAATTTAACAGTAGATTTTTCAATCTCTTTAATGAATGTCATTGGAATTTGATGGGAATTGCATTAAACATGTAGATTACTTTTGGGAGTATCGACATTTTTACTATGTTGATTCTACCAATCCATGAGCATGGGAGATCTCTCCACTTTCTATAGTCTTCCTCAATCTCTTTCTTCAGAAGTGTATAGTTTTCCTTGTAGAGGTCTTTCACATCTTTTGTTAGGTTTACACCTAGGTATTTGATTTTTTTGAGGCTATTGTAAATGGAATTGTTTTCATACATTCTTTTTTCAGTTTGCTCATTGTTAGTGTATAGAAATGCTAATGATTTTTCTATGTTGATTTTATATCCTGCTACCTTGCTATAGCTATTGATGATGTCTAGAAGCTTCTGAGTAGAGTTTTTTGGGTCTTTAAGGTATAGGATCATGTTGTCTGCAAATAGGGATATTTTGACAGTTTCTTTACCTATTTGTATTCCTTTTATTCCTTCTTCTTGCCTAATTGCTCTGGCTAGGAATTCCAGTACTATGTTGAATAGGAGTGGAGATAGTGGGCATCCTTGTCTGGTTCCTGATTTTAGAGGGAATGGTTTAATTTTTCTCCGTTAAGTATAATGCTGGCTGTAGGTTTGTCATATATAGCTTTTATAATGTTGAGGAACTTTCCTTCTATTCCTAGTTTTCTTAGAGCTTTTATCATGAAATGATGTTGGATCTTATCAAAGGCTTTTTCTGCATCTATTGAGATGATCAAGTGGTTTTTGTCTTTGCTTCTGTTAATGTGGTTTATTACGTTTATTGATTTTCGTATGTTGAACCACCCCTGCATCCCTGGGATGAACCTACCTGGTCATGGTGAATAATCTTTTTGATGTGTTGCTGAATTCGATTTGCCATTATTTTGTTGAGGATTTTTGCATCAATGTTCATTAAGGAGATTGGCCTATAGTTCTCCTTTTTGGAGGTGTCTTTGCTGTTTTGGGATAAGTGTAATATGGCTTCATAAAATGTGTTTGGCAGTTTTCCTTCCCTTTCTATTTCATGGAACAGTTTAAGGAGGGTTGGTATCAGTTCTTCTTTAAAGGTCTGATAGAATTCAGCAGAGAATCCATCAGGTCCTGGACTTTTCTTTTGGGAGACTCTTGATTGCTGCTTAATTTTCATTTTGTGTTATAGGTCTATTCAGGTGATTATTTCCTCTTGGTTCAGTTTTGGATGATCATATGTATCTAGAAATCTGTCCATTTCTTTTAGATTTTCAAATTTATTTGAATATAGGTTCTCAAAGTAGTCTCTGATGATTCCTGGACTTCCATGGTGTTTGTTTGTTATCTCCCCTTTTGCATTCCTAATTCTACTAATTTTGGGTTTTTTCTCTCCTCATTTTAGTCAGGTTTGCCAGGTTGTCTATTTGATCTTGTTTATTTTTCAAAGAACCCAACTTTTTGTTTCATTAATTCTTTGTATGGTTTTTTTGGTTTCTATTTCGTTGATTTCAGCTCTTATTTTTATTATTTCTCTCCTTCTATTTGTTTTGGGATTTGCTTGTTCTTGTTTTCTGGGGAGTTTTTTCAACATGCTTCACCTCTCTCATCCTAGAAGATTTCTTTCTTTTTTCTTTTTTTGATATTTTCGTGGCAGTTCTGGGGTTTGAACTCGGGGCCTTGCACTTGCTAGGCAGGCCCTCTACCACTTGAGCCATGCCTCTCAACCCTCTTTTTTATTTTCAAATCTATTTTGTGGGGACAGAAGATGGAGCTCAGTGGTATGGTTGGTTAGCATACATGAGGCCCTGGGTTTGACCTCCAGCATACATACATGTAAAATTAATCAATTTGTTCACTTGAGACAGGTTCTCTCTATGTAGCCCAGGCTGGCCTAGAACTCATGATCCTCCTGCCTTAGCCTCCTAAGTGCTGAGATTTCACCATGACCAGCTATTGAGAGAATTCTTACACATGATAAAATCCTTCATTTCTCCTGTTGAATGCCTTTTACTTCTTACCATAGAAATTACGACTATTCTACTTGGTACTCTGCCTTAGAAAATGACTTATCTTCTATTTCTCCTTTTCTACTAGCATTTCTCAACACAGCAGTCTATATTTACAGAAAATGTAAATGTATACATGTATGTGTGTATGTGTCCACATTTCTCCTTATTGTCCTCTCTGCCTCCCACTCTTACCTCTTTTTCTCCAGGGGCTAAACTCTTCACATGTGAGATCACCTTTAGTAACACCTGATTGTCTGTGAAAATCTCTGACAGGTTTTCATGATACCGCCGCAACAGCTCAGTCCCATAATCCTCAGGGCTTGGTTGCACTGTAAGGATATGAGCACAACAATAATGTTTGCTGCAACACCCCTTTCCCCAGGCTTCTCCTTAGACAGCCAGGGACATACAGGTGAGAGAGGGAGGGAAATCAGAACAAGGGCTGCCTGCCTGGAGCCTCACACGTGTTCAGATCTCCTCTGGTTTACACTTAATCACTTGGTGCTTTGGGGTCATAAAACCACTAACACAATGAAAGTCAGTGCCTGGTGGTAGAAACTAGCGGCTGCTCAACAGGGGGGTAATGAGAAGGCTGTACTTGCAAGAAATTCAGATGTACAGATTCAAGGGGTGTTACTTGTGAAGCCGGAGGCAAAGGATCCATGTAGTAATCCAAAATACAAGCAGCCACGAGTCAAAATGCCCCCGTGAAGCTGACCAAGAACTAGCTTAGATGCCCCCAGAGCCCATCTGTTAGGTACTCTCTTTAAGAAAACATATTTCCTTGAAAATTAAAAAAAACTCAAATAATCAGGCATTTCCCTTGGCTTTGCGGATATTTAAATTTTTTATTCTCCTTTGTTGACCTAATAAATCCATTTCTGAAAACCTAACCCTAAATAATTACCTGAAGGCAAAAGAACTAAGTACAAAGACCACCGCCACCATGTAATCTGTGATGATGAATAAGATAATAACTAACATTTACTGGATGCCTGTTATGTATGTGTTAGGTTATGTATTAAATGTTTTGTAAGTATTATTTATAATAGTGACAAAAATGTCATACGCACCATTCTTATACCATTCAATAGAGAAAACGAGGTTCAGAAAGGGTAGGTTGCTTGTTCAGTGTCACACAGCTACAAAATGGTAAAATCAGGCTGTGAAGCTAGGTCACTGTGATACTAAAGCAAACAGTCTTCACATCTACCCTGAAATAAGAGCTTAAGTAACATTGTATATATCCTTTGATGGAAAACTACTCAAGCTTCAAAAAACAAGATTATGGGGAGGTTTTCTGAAATATGGGGAAGACTGTTGTTATACTGCTAAATGGGGGAGGTCATAAAATGATAAAATACATCAAAGTATACTTGAGTGATAATGCTTTGGACTGTTTTCCTCTTTATTTTTGTTATGTTCCTCCATTTCCCAAACATCCTGTTTCTAAAAGCCACCTCAGTCCCCCATGCTCTGGGAGAGGGGAAAATTGGCTCCAGTTGAGTTTTTAAGGAATGGCTATGGGCTCATTTCCCCCAGTTGAGGATCACCAAAGGTGACCTGGGGACTGATGGAAGCAAACAGCAGTTGGGTGGGAGTAGGCAATCAAGATTTGACTTTTGCTCCTCACATTCGTTCACACAGCTCATCAGAATGCTGAGCTGTGGGAGTGCTTCGTTCCATGGGTGATCCTGGATAACCTTGGGAGAATCATCAATTAAATAAATCTTAGACTATGGGAACCCTAGAAAGGAGCTTAATAGTTTAGAGTCATTAGATTTCAGATTTTTACTCGAGAAATTTTGAGATCATTGATTTGTGATAACTGTCACTGTTTTGCAAGGGCATTTAAAAAATTATCTTATCTCCCCAATATGGAGCCAAAAGGGTATTTTATACCCTGGAACTACTAAGGAGTAGTTCCAGTCCAGAATCAACAATAAATCAATACCTGTGGCACTGGACCAATCAGCTAATTTCTGCAAATTCTCCAGCAGAAGGCCCAAGTTTGGAAATGTTGTTTTCACACCCTGGAGGAGTTTTACCAAGCTCTTAGCTGTCAGGGTCTTCTCTTCAGTTATCTTATGCAACAAATTTTCTATTGTCTCCTTGGGTGTTCCACACTCACAGCAATTCAGAATCACCTGTAAGGGCATGCAATCAACCAGACACCAGTTACTGGCAGTTAAAGTTTATCTGACACACCACTGGAAACCCCAACAAGATGGCATTACAAAATTTCCTATCTCCAAGTCCTCCCCAGTTGGTCTCTAGCACTACTTTTGTCATAGTCCCTTTCTTACTGTTTCAGTAAAAATCCAAAACATTCTTCAAACAAATAGCTCTACAAAAATCTTTCTTAACTGCAACCCTATGTATAGTCTTTGCTTCCAATAACATGTATTTTTTTGGAAAACCTTCTTACACCTGGCCTATATGACAGAGCAAATAGCTTGTATCTAACCTGATTCTTTAGATTTAGCTTGTTCCAACAGTAAGACTGAGAAATAGAGACTGGCAATTAATTTACACAATTAAATTGTTTTTGATCTGCTTGGTAAAATTCATTATATTGGTACAGGTTATAATTTTCAGAGAAATCCTATTATTTTATTCCTTTTATTTACATAGTAATTTGAATACTCAAATAATTTACTGTCTGTTAACTCCAAAATAAAAGTATTTTTCTGGATTAGTCTTCTGAAGTCTTTATTATCCATTCATCTCACTCTCAATAGTCACACATCAGTTCCAGTCACAACTCAACAATTTCACTCCCTTGTTCTCCTTTGCTGTGTGGAAGAATTTTCTGAGTCAAAAGGTCACAGGGGACTGATGGCATGACTCAAGCAGTAGAGTGTCTGCTTTGCAAGTGCTAAGCCCTGAGTTCAAACCCAGTCCCACCCCCCACCAAAAAAAAGACAACTGAAAAGTAAAAGAGGGTGACAGAGATTTCCTGTTATAATAGAGCTATTTCTTAATAGACCACCACACAATATGCATAACATGACTCTTACAGAACTGATAAAGCAGGGGATTATTTAAATATATGTAATCCATGAGTCACAATAACTGTAACTGACATGTGAACTTTTCTTTGGGAAAATCCAGTTCTCAGGAGAAAGTCAAGCAGATAAGTCAAAGTCTGCCATTATCAAATTAACTTCCATTTTAAATTAATGAATTTAGCTTTAAATAAATTTAAATTTAGCTTTTATATAAAAAATATATATCTGAATAAATCAAGTTGTCATATTCTTTGTCAGTATACAACATAGTCATTCTTTTGGTTTAAGGTCTAATATGCAGTAAATTTCTACTAAATAAATCATAATTTAATATTTAAGAGCTTGGGTCAGGCATGGTGGTACACACCTGTAATCCCAGATGTACTATAGGTGTAATACTCAGGAGGCTGAGGCAGGAAGATCAAGAGTTCAAAGAGAGTCTGGGCTACAGAGTGAGACCCGATCTCAAAAAAATAATCTTATTTCCTAAGCAATAATCTAATACATAATGAGGCAGCCACACACTATTAAGAGTAGGTATGGGCAGCTCTAGTTTGTATCCCAGCCCTAAAATTTATTGGTTGTGACTTTAGGCAAGTTACTTAATTCTTTGACCCTTCTTCTCCTCATTTGCAGAAAGATAACCATACCAACTCTAGCACAGTTGCTAGGATTCTATAAAAGGAGACTACTGTTTATAGAGCGTTTATCACTCCTAGGACAGGACTCATGTCCTCTTTAAGCAACCACAGTGTGTTGCTATCAGTGGGGAGCAGCATGCACAGTGGTGAAGAGAATGTGCTTGAGAGAAGCCAGGGTCCCATTACTAGCTGCAACAGCGCTTTTTGTGTGAGCTGCTTACCTTCCCTAGCTCCTCTTTTAAAAGGAAGATGGTGTCTATCCCTAGCCTCATACAGCTGCTGGGAGGGTAAACTTCAGTAGTATTTAAAAGGTCTTCAGCACATTGCTTGGCACACAGTAAATGATAAATAAAATGGCACCTGTAATAGTTACTATTCTTATGTCCTGAAGTAAAGACATTCCTCTTCAGTTATGAAAAGAACCCAAAGGTATTTATGGATAAGGCCACAATATCCACGACAGGCATAATTTCATAAAAGAACAAAGTTCTCAAAAGGTCTGTGCAGACATTCCACATGGTATCACAACACTGAGGCTGGTCCATCAGTATTCACTTCTACACTGCTTAGCACAGCTCTGGTAGAACCCCAAGCTTAAGAAGTGTGTTTGTGACTTATAACTAATTTAGGTTCTTCTGATCCAGTCTTATCTGTCAAGTAAACCGAAAGTGACAGAAGAAAATGACAGTGCGGTCCATCTTGTGGCAGAGAATGAGTCTGGGTTTGGGCTCTATCTCCAAGTGCCATTTTACCAAGATAATCGAACAGTTCAAACAACACATTCAGTCTATCTAATAAGGAAAAGCTTGGGATAAGTAATCGAATGAAATCACTGAAAAGGGAATCAAATACTTCTAGAGTTATAAGAAACTTACTTAAAATCAGTGCCTGAAATTATACTTAATCTGAAATCTCAGAAGAAAAATAGGGTTATTCTTTTTGTTAATATTATCTTTCCCTAAGAAATTCAAAGAGCTTAAAAAAATTTAAAACATAATTAATAAGTAAAATATAATTTTGAGATTAAAGGGTTGTTCCCATTTATCTATCTGCCTGCCTGTCTGTGCAATATAAGATCTCTGAGAAAAATAAAATCTAGGATCTAGTCCTCACTGTGAATCCGGTGCTCAGCATTACACTAGTGGTTTCTACATTTCTTCTTCCATGGACATTTAAGACACTTCCCACAGTTTTACGAACTGATGCCACAGAAGTTTTCCATCCCAGTTCTTCCCTCCTTATAGATATAGACGTATTTTTAGCACAAAGCTGAAATCAATAACACCAACAAATACAGTTATCTAGATGCCCTGAGAAGTCATACCAGCAGTTTTATGAGGATTTTAGCAGCTGGCTGGTGGGAGAGTAAATTGGTATGACCTTACTGAAGGAAGGGTAATTTGGTAACATACACTAAACACTTGAACATTTTACAGTCTTTCTTCCCAAATTCTACTTCTTAGAAATGACTCTAAGGAAATAATATTCACAAGAATAAAAAGCTTTGCCTGCAGGGATCTCCTTTGCAACATCATTTGTAACAGCAAAAAATTGGGAACAAATGCCCAAGAATAAAGAATTAATAAATTATGGCATGTCCATTAGAATGTAATTCAGCTTCCAAAATCCACATAATAGGTATAGAAACTTATTAACATGTTAAATAAACAACTGAATTAGAATGCCATGTATTGCATATAACCCACTCAAGGATGACTCAAATGAAAATGAAAGAACATGTTCTAAATGGTTAGCAAGGGTTCTCTGAGTGGTGACACTGATTTTTTTCCTTTTTGCTTATCTTCTTCATATTAAATAAGTACCATATCTGCAAAAAGAAAAGTGTAATCATAATTACAAATGTGTCTTAACATTTTAACCCTTCATACAGCTGTTTGTAGTAAAAGCCACTGAGTCAGGGCAGGAATGGCATGTGTTTATTATCCATCTACCTATCCAAACACTGGCTGTACGGCTACAATGTGCACAGCCTTCACTAAGCTGCAACACGAAATACAAAGGGGCATGAAACAAGAATCTGAACTTGGAGTGATTACTATGCAGTAGGTATAAAAATACTGTAAGGCAAAACCTGCTATGTGCCACAGAAGAGGTTTTTTAAACAAGTGCTACAGCAATTCAGCAGAGGGAGGAGATTCTTGACACAGTTACCCTTTTCTCAGAGCCAGGCAGGAATTCCTCCTTGGCTGTTTCCAGGAACTCCACAATAGGTCTCAGCTGTGTTACACACTGTATCAGGTCCTCTTTGTGTTCCAGTAACAGAACAGACAAGGTCTTTCCCTCCTCTGTGCTCCCTGGGGGAGAAAGAATTAGAGACACACAAGAGAAGCTAGTCAATTTGAAGAAAATGACAGCATGGTTTGTAGAGAGAGATCTAACAGAATAGTAAAGTGATTCTCAGCTTATTCTGTGCACCTGAATGCAGAATCACTTTTACAGAGAAAAATACTTTATTATTCTGTTTAAACTCTATGAAAGGAAAAATGTTTCATTTATCTGTTGAAACACAAAGCTTCAGAGCCAGCCAGAGGTTAACTTCCGGTTGGCAAGGCCATTGCTTTCTACCTAATCCAAATGAGAGAAGCTTCAGACTTTAAGTGCTGTCAGCAAACCAGTCACCCTGGGCACTTGCAGCACTGCTTTGGACATGCAGCTTTTTGAAAGGCAGGAGGACACTGGTGGTAATCTCCAATCTGTCAGGGTACCAGCTTAGTTAACTAGGGACAGAAATGTAGCCTCCTGTTCAGCTTGTGTATGTTTAACACGCAGCTTCTGGAACGACATGTAGAATCTGTGTGAAAGCCACCAAAGATCATTGGATGGGACGTCAAAACTTGCTCCTTCAGATGACCAGGGTGCCCATCCCCACCTACCTTTTGGCTGTACAGGTGCCATGCCCTCCTGCTCTTGGGTGAATAGAGACACTTTTGCTGTAGGAGAATTCTGGCACAGCCTCAGTAGGGACACAGCAGCCTGCACATCCAGGCTCTCATCTCGTACTTTATTCAGGAGCCTCTGGAATGCTGAATGCCCTCCATCACCCTTGAGACATTCCAAGATGATCTGTGCAACAAAAGTGCCCAGAGGTTAGCCGGCCACCTGACCACATGTGGCAAGCAGTAGCCCCTTCCTCACTGCACTTGCACAGCAGCAAACCCTGTGTCTAGTGAGCCCCAAGCCCAACCTGTGGAGGACCTGATTCCTCCCTCTAGCCTGGCTCAGGACAGGCTCAGGACAGGCCCTACTTCCTCTCTGGGGCTCTTACTTCTGTCCTGTCACACTACACTCTAATTCTGGTTTATCTATTTCTCACACTAGACTTCCTGAAGTCAGGGATCAAGTTTTCTAGGGCTCTGACCCCTTAGCAACTAGCATGGCCTAGCACATAGTAGGTGTTCAGTGAATTTTAACAAATTCACTGCACTTCTACCTAATACCTTTCCGAATCTTATGACATTCTGAATATTTCTTAGGCAAGGATATCTGAATTTCAAATTGAATGAACTGTCATTTCATTATTTGAGAATGCAATTAAAACCTCACAAGTTAGGAAAAAAAATGCTTTAAGTCATTCACATCATGAATGATGGACCATTTAGAAAAACACGAGCCTTATTACTTTTAGATATATTTGGTAATAAGGATAACAACGTGTTGGCTTATAGGTGCCAGCTGTCAGAAGAACATGATTCACATATTAATTATCCCATGTTAATGGCTGCTTCCAATCTGAAGGGGCTTCAGTTTCTTCCACAACCAGCACTCCCACAGCTAGCCTTGCCTCTGGCCTTGTCACCTGACCTTCTGGAGGCTTCTGGCATTACTACTGCCTCTGTCCCAGTTTTCCCCTGACTTAAGTGACACTGAAATACTATGGGTGAGAACTAGCCTTTCTGACTCCACTTTCCAGTGCTCCTCACTGATTATTCTTCCAAATCCATAACCACAATCATGACCCAAGACTAGTCTAAACCCTTACTATTTTATTTTGGGAGACAGGGTCTCCCTGTGCAGCACAGGCTGGCCTCAAACCCACCACTCTTCTCCCTCAGTCTCCTGTTAATCCTCTGTTGTCTTCCTTCATCTGAAAGCTCTCTTATACCAGCTTTAACTGTTGCCACTGGGCAGGTAACCTGCAAATGGGCTCTCATCCCAAGCTCTCTGTTTCAGTCTAGAGCCATAGTTTCTGCTAGATATGCCTGAGACTCCAGATGTCTCAGGCCATACAGAAAACCAAACTCAGCATCTTGAGTATTCCAGACCTGCAGTAAAATATCAACTAGCCTAGTGGTAAAATAAACAGAACTAGCATTCCTTTCTTTGGTTGGATAGGACATCTCCATAAATGAGAGAAAGGCCAACAGGAAGGTAGTTTTAATATTTCTATTTTAGCAAATTAATTTATTTGGAAAAAAACAGATAACCAAAACTGAATTTTGTGTTTATAGTTATAAATGTGGTTGTTTATTTGGTGGTTCTGGGTGTGTTTTTTATGTTAACCTTTCAAAAAAAGTTTCCTATGATTTTTGGTCACCTCTAAAAGTAAGCCTGGATAAAACACAGTTTAATAATCTACACTAAGATTTCACTGGCATAAATCACTTCCCTGAACCTAAGGTAACTCATCTTTTATTTTAAAAATAATGATACCAGTTGAATGCTTAATCCCCTTTGGTCAAACTAATTCAACTTTCCATGCTTTTGTTGGCTGGCCTTTCAGTGCCTCAGAACACCTTTCACTGTCAACACTAGGGACCCAGAGGTAGACAGTCTGCAAAATGGCTCCCAATGCTTCCTGCTTCCAGGTATCCATACCCGTGGGCTGAAATTCATGACTTTTTTCTAAGAAGGAGAATATGGCAAAAGTAATTGGATGTTCCTTTTGAGACTAGGTTACTATGACTTCTGCCTAGTGTACGTGCACATGAGTGTGAGCGAGGATGCATACGTGTTTCTTTCTCTTTCTCTGTGCTTGCTCTGGGAGATGCAAGCTGTCATGCTACAAGCTGCCCTAAGGAGAGGATCACGTGGCAAGGAACGGGTATCTTCAATCCACACTTAGTGAGCATGCTGAAAATGGACCTTTTGGAAACTGCCAATAGCCATGAGAGTGAGCTTAGAACATATCCCCCAAAGAGTCTTGTATGGCCGAGCCATGGGTGACATCCTGACTGCAGCCTTATTAAGACTCAAGTCAGAGGCTTAGCCAAACTCCGTCTGCCTTTCTGACCCACAGAAACCATGAAGCAGTAAATGTTATGACTTTAAGCTGAATCTCAAAGTAATGTATTACACAACAACAGATAACCAATACAGACCCACTCACTGCTAATACCCTTAGTAAACCTATTTCTTTCTGTTTTACCTTTCCTTCCTTCCTTTTTTTTGTGTATCTTAACTGATACAGCGCCTTATTCTATCCTGGGCCAGGTTGTTCTCTTTTATTTTTCACCTAAAGCTCTCTTGACTATCCCAATCCCACCTTTTCTGTGTCCAGTGTGTCTGGCACGATTGTCTGAGCCAGGGTAAGAGAAGCTTTCACCACCGTGGCTTCAGACGCACTTCTCATTATCTTCTCTGCTGTCTCTCCCTCTGCAGAACTACTCAGCAGTGAAATTAAAACATTTGTTAACTTCACTGCTCAGCAGTGATGCTAAGGTGACCATCTGGGAAGATAAGCAGGGGTGGACTGAAGAAAGGGCCAGAAGGAATAGTCAGCTGCCTGGACAGCCTTGCTTTTTCTTCCAGAACCTACTAGGGATCCACACCAGAGCCAGTACTATAGTTGTTACTCCAAGCTCACTGGGGCTCTGCAGTGGAGTAAGTCCTTTTTTTGAAACAGTGTCTCTGCCTAAACAGAAGGGTGTTACATATTATGACATTTTGCTACCATGCAACAGAACTCTAAGAGCTGAACCAAAATAAATTTTGTCAAAAGGCCAACTCCTTTGATTTTTATGGAATTAAAGGTATCTCAATAAATTCATGTCAACACATGGTCACACAAGTAATCAAAGTACTTGACCTCTGAGTCAAATACAGGCAAATGAACTTAAAGATGAGATTGCTTCCTTTCCATCTGTTAAGGGAAAACCCATTTAATCTTTCCCTTAACTCAGGTTTTAAATGAATTTATACACTCTCTAACTCTTTTTGTCTCCTGTCTTCAGATTTGCCCTCCCTTAAATGCTAAGGGCCAGGCAATGGCAATAATGATAGGGGCTGAGGTGTAGCTCAGGGGTAGTGTAGCTGCTTAGCACACACAAGGTTCTGGATTCAATCTCCAACAACAAAAATAAATTAAAAAAACTGATACAGACCACAATTGCTCAACACCAACCTGGATCTTGTGTAGGCTTGCCATCTACTTCCCTCCTCACACCAGTCCTAGCATTCCTACTGCTGCTAACGCAGCACTGCAGAGGTTAAGGAACCTCCTAAGGTCCCAGGGTTAGTAAGCAGAGTAGCCCAGATACAATAATGGATAAACTGAATTCACATACACAAGATTCTACTGAACTTAACAGAATCAACATCACTGAACACTGGGTAGTGTGCAGGCAGTCTGTACCATTCTTCTTGGTCTCGATGATTAGTACAGAGACTTACATAGTAGGTAGCCAATAAATGTTTGCCCAACCAAATGAAATTCCCTTTCCCTACAACTCTAGCCCTTGCATCTATGGCTACATTTTCCAGACTTTGTAACAGAAAAGAGATTTGGAACGACTGATTTTCACCTCTCACAGCCTTGCAAGATGAATCCCTTAATTTGCCCTTGAGGTGACCACACACATCAGTGAGCACAATGCTGTAACACAGACCTGCACCACTGGCTAAGCCTTTAAGTCATGACACAGTGGATAACAGCACCTTCACACAGGAGAAGAAACCTATTCACCTTTGAAATACAGTTGAAGGAGAAAAAAATGTTATCAGGTCCTCAGCTTTGGGAACATTTCTAGAACTTAGGTGAAAAGTGAATCAAACAGCAAAGAAATCAATAGTAGAAAAAGTTCACTTCTTATTCTGGCAAAGACCATTTTGCTATATACAGTTAATTGAAAGCAGAGACATGGCTAGGAATAAAGAAGGAAAACAATTAAAGTTCTAGCACAAAAACTAAAAAATAGGTCTGAGCTTGGCTTTAACTAAAGGTTGTACTGAGCTTAGTCAGAAAGTTTCTTGGGTCACAACTCATTTCTAATGGGGAGGGAATGTTCTGCTGAGAACAAGGTGGCAGAAGACATACCCTCTCTCTCCCAGGCACCAGAGATCTCTCTCCATAATCAGTTCTGGCTTTGTTCACACAATTCAAGCAGCTGGGCCTCTTCTTATGCTGCTGCAATCATTGCTCAGAGAGTGGCTTTGCCGCCCTTCAACGTGAATCTCAGGAAACAAAGCCACCAGGACACTGGTTCATGATGTCCTCACTACACACAGTCGAGGCCAGCTGCACATCCCACATCAGTCTGTCTCAACCAGAACACCACACCACTCACCAGCTGCAACAAGCCTCAAAATCCTACATCCAGTGGTCAATTACTTTAAATATAAGTAATCATGTTAGGATGATCAACAAAAACATTCAAAGCTCCTTGATAGTTAAAAATGTATAAAAAGAAGAGCAAACAAAAAAACCCGCAATCTTTAAGGTTGTACTAAAACTTAAAATAATGTTGCTCCTAGCCAGTAGTTCTTGAATGTGCTCCTCACTGAAGCCTTATGGCAATTCCTACCAGGAAATTATCACATGTGTGGCAGGATGACTTCGCTGTCAGGACCCTGTAAGGGTAAGAACTGAATCTTAAGTTCATTTTCCATGGCCTCTCACTACACTGAAAGGTGCTGGCACAGACATTATGACATCTGCCACTATCAGCTAAGCGTTTTGTGGGTCATTAACTTCTCCAGCAGTGCTTGTCAAAATGTGGTCCCCGGCTAAAGACAGCAACACACAAGGATCTTGTTAAAGACACAGACTCCCAAGCTCTTCCACAACCCAAAATCCAACTCTCTGGAGGTATGTATTTTAGCAAGCACACCAAGTGATTTTTATACACATTGCACATTGTTCTAGAAACTGAGGGCCTCATACTAGACACCACCCCTGCAGTTTTGGAAGCTACTTCCAAGTCGAAGGTGGTACTGATTTAAAAGCATGTCATACACATTTAGCTTCAAGTAACAGCAAACCACCTCATGTGTCAGAGTAAACAACCACATACTAGAAGGATACGGCAAGGTATTAAGTGAAAAGGAGTTTAGAGGTCTAGTGAGTTTGCAAATACTGAGTTAATATGAGAGCTTTGGCTACCTACTGAACCCCACTATGTGTCTGGGCTTTTACTATGAGGTTTTTTTTTTTTTAATTATCATATTATTATTGCACTGGGGGTACATTGTGACATTAACAAAAATTCTTACAATATATAATTGAATTCACCCCTCTATCATCCTCCTTTATCCCCTTACTATGAGCTTTATACAAATAATCCTAATTAATTCATGATGACCCTATGATATACTGATAACATCCCCATTTTACAAAAGAAGAAACTAAAACTTATAAAGACTAAGTTGTTCAAGGTCACAATGCTAGTAAATGGTAAAGCTGGTTAAATAAAACCATATATCCATACAACAGAATACTACTCAGTGCTGAGAAGGAGTGAACACACACATGGATGAATCTCAACAAATTATACAAATAAAAGCTAGGCAAAAAGAATGAATACTATTTGACTCCCTTTATATAATACTCTAGAAAATTGACAGAAAGCCAGTCAGTAATTACCTAGGGGATGGGTGAGTGGAAGGGGACAGGTGGGATGGATTGCAGAAAGACATAAAGAAACTTTTGGGGGCAATGCATATGCTTACCATCTTGATTATGGTGACAGTTTCAGGCATATATCAAAATTTATCAGACTGTACACTTTAAGATGTACTGTTTACTATATGTCCTCTATACCTCTATAAAGCTATCTAACAGAAAGTACAGAGAGAAGTGGAGGACATACTTTATAACTAATTAACTTTTTGTAGGGCTGGGATCAAACCCAGGACCTCATGCTTCCTAAGCAAGAGCTCCACCACTGAGCTACATTCTCAGCCCTTATATTTAATTTAATCTTATACTCTTAAAGTATTCTTTCCCTTTTTCTTTCTGAAGTTGAAATATTTATTATGGGCCAGAACAGAATTGGTTTTAACTACAGCCACCAAGTGATCTGTAGAGCTCTTACTCTAAAACCAAGGAAGAAACAACGTAAGACTATCAAATAATGATCACCAGCAGTGAACCAGGGCTCTTCGAAAGTGCTATCAATAAGAATACGAAGCGGGGGCATTTATTGAACATCTGCTATGTGCCAGATGCTTTTAGGCATCAGTGTTGTAAAAAGACATAAGACAAAATCCAAGCAAATACAGAGGTGATTACTAACAGCCTGTGTTGTGCTGATTGGAGGAATAATGTTGCTTTTTTGTAGCCAAAGGCAATGGAGAGGACACGTTGAGAGAGAAAATTAAGAGATGCATCTAGAAGTCATCAAGGTATTGAGTAAAATGATATAAATGATGCACTGAGCAGTTTAGAGAGCACGCAAATGTAAAAACATAAAACCATAATATCCTTCAACATAACTGGTACAAGAGATACCAACCTCCCAAAGAGATCATCAGGATTAACCCAGCCTTATAAATAGCTTGTCTCCCAAGACAAAAATTTACAGTTGTAGCCAACTGTCAGTTAAGAAGGCAAAAATGAACACTAGACCTTGGATTTAATTTTTTTAAAAAAGTAACCTGCTAGGAATCAGGAAACCCCTCACAAAGTGGAAGGCATTTATTCAATAAATTAATAATCCCTCACAAACACTAGATTGCTTACAGCAACATGAGAACCACCCCTAGTCAGGTAGCAAGCCTGCTCGGGGGCGCCCCTCACTCTGTTGAAGCCTCTACTAAGAGCAGGTTGGGAGACAGAAGACACTGGTGGAGCTCTAAAGTGTTTATGGAGTAGAATCCTGCAGGACCAGGTGGCAGAAGCACACAGGTGGGTATGTGTCTCAACTGCATTACTGCAAAACAGAAAAGGTCAGCTAAGAAACAGAGCAGGATAACCAATGGCCATTTCTTGTTAGGCGATTCCTAAACATTTTAAGAGATATGTATCATTTTTCACCCCGTTGGGAGGCAGGATAACTCAGTGTGTAAGGGGATAGCGCTAAGGTCAGAATGGGGGCTGGGAGGATGTTCACTGGTTGAAGGCTTGCTTGCCTGGCACATGTGAGGCCCTAGGTTGCATCTCCAGCACCACACACAAAAAATAGTCAGAATACTTGAGTTTGAATTCTGCCTTGCAGTCTTACAAGCTCTGTGCCTTTGCCAATTACACCATCTCTTTGACACAATTTTCTCACCCATAAAACATCACTAAAAAATAGTACCTATGATTTTTGTGAGGACTGAGATAAAAATGTATTAAACGTATCTTAGTGAGTGCTAAATAAGTATTCAATATTATATTTTATTTATTTTTTCTTTTTTAAATTTTTTACACCGTTATGTTTTTACATCTGAAAGTGGCCACTGTATTTCTAAATACTGGATGCAGTTTACTATGTTAAGTTTATGTTAAATCCTTTCTGCACACATTTTGAGTACCTGTAACTTTGGTTACAAATCTCAGATTTGGGGTTATCCATGACTACCTTCTGCCTCTTTTATTCTTGATTAATAAGGAAGGAAGGGTGTAACAGATGAAGTGTCCTGGATCAAAACTGGTAAGAAGCTGGAATGCTTGTGGTGATTAAAATATAAATTCCTTCTGAAAGTACCTTGCCAATACTTTTGCAAAACTGTCCTTTAAGGAATAAATGACAAAAAAAGTTTGATAAACGTGAAACCCTGAGATAGTCTGCATTTTTATATTTTACCCCATAAGGGAGTTGACATAGTGTCCTGAGAATACTATGCTAGAAACAAATGAAACTCAGAGGTACCTACCTCCTTCTGTGGGCCTTTAATTTCTGAGCATCCCTCCAGTCTCTTTAAAATCTCCTGGGTAACCAAGAGTGCATCTGAGAAGACGCTCTCATTTTCTAGAAGAAAATTCATTTGGTATTGTTTCTTCTCACACTCTGAATGTAGAACAAAATAAAACAAAACAGCGATTTGTTACTTGAAATGACTCAAGGTTTCAGCTGTCTAAGAACTTTCAGACTGCCCATCTAGCATATCAGTGCTGAACAAGACAGGAGCTTCCTGAACAGTTTTCTCTCTCATGCATCCCTCTGCCTGGTGGAAATAAGGGGTAATTATTAGAAGTGAAATATTGTTATTTCAATACTGTTCTGCTCTGTAGCTCATTTCTAGACTTTCAACACTAAAAAAACAGACAGCTTAAAAGAAGAATGCCCCAGTGATGTATTGCACTAGATTTTGGTTTCCTACCTAATGGTGATCTTTGATAAATTTATCAATAAAACAAAAAATTTAATAAGGATCATTGAACCTAGTAAGTGACAAATATAAATTTAAATGAAATTAAACATAGAATGAAGTGAGTGTTACCTGGTTCTGTGCTTGCCCCCTTTGCTTCACTATGGCTTTGTCCTGCAAGGGAGGGGGAATAAACTTCAGTTGGGTAAGAAGTCTCCACTAGGGTCTCAGCACCTCCTTCAATCTCCTGGGCTGTGGAAGGAGCTGCACTCATCTCTTGTGGTACCACATGGATTGCTTCCTGAGTCTTGGCCTTCTCAGGGACCCCTGGAGTGGCAGACACCTCCAAGGAAGAAGGGGGCTCCTCAGCACCTTCAGAAGAAAGGACTTCTACTTGAGGTATCTCTGATTCCTTCTTGCCTGGCTCTGAGGATGATGGCAAGACATCTCTTACCACCTGCCCTTGGACAGAGCAGTTTACAAGGCTGGTCAGAAGATTTTTACAGCTAACAGCCACATCAAACATCTGCAGGCTATCAGCTAAAGAGATAATTTTGGAGAAGTTGTGCTTGCCCACTGGTAGTTTGCCAGTGTACATCATTTCTAGCAAGAGAGCAAACTCCTCAGGGCTCACCACAGAGGCATCAATGGAGATGGTGTCCGTGTTGTCCAGCAGGGTTTTGAAAAGCAGGCTGGCGGCAGCAAGGACAAGCTTATGAGCCCTGAAGTAGATGGTTCCAATGGAGATGGTGCAGTCACAGAACTGCTGCTCCTTGCACAGTGTGTAAAGCTGCTGCAGCAGCTGCCGGCTGTAGTTGGGGAGCTCCATGGAGTCAACTCTGCCCCTAGGACTTCTCTTCCTCTCTCCTTCCAGAGTCTACCCAGTGAGGATCAGTCCTTGAGAGACCCACACAACACCATGTTAAAACCTTGCAGGCACACATGAAGGCCCTACATGAATGCTGACCATACCAAAAGGCAACGCACTTGTTCACTCAGCAAGTGTATTGAGTGATTCAAGTATACATAATATTTGGGGTGGGGTGGGGCAGTGATTCAAGTATACATAATAATATTTATGGTAATTATCATGTGCTTAACTGTAGGAAAGAGACTATGCTTAGTGATTTGTATGATCTCAGTTGATCCTCACAATGGCTCAGAGGAAGACACTGTTCCCTCCCCATCTCACAGACCAGACGGAAGCTTAGAGGGAGAAGCAGCCTAAGAAAAGGCAGCCATGAAATGGCCTTCTATATCTCACTGTCTTCAAAGCTGTAACTATACTACTAAATGTCATTCTTGTCCCCAAGAAGTTGTCAACCAACAGGAAGAGACAAATATACAAACACAGACTTAAAATACAATGTCCTCAGCAAATTTAAGCTGTCCACAGCACTGGGCAGGGGACATAATTCCCTCTGTCTATCATGAATTTTTCCCTTGGTTCTCCAATTCTCCTACCAACTTACTGGCATGCCCCTCAGTTTCCTTTGTTGGCCCTTTTCATCACCTCTCCAGCTCAGGACTCTTCTGTGAACTCGATGTACACTTCCAGCCACCCTCTCCACATCTCCAACTGGAAACTTAATAGGTTTCCGAAACTTGTGTCTCTAAAACTCTCCTGTCATCTTTCCCACTTCACAGCAATTCATCCTTTTAGTTGTTCAAACTAAAACCCTGGAAATTATCTGTGACTCCTGTTCTTTTCTCATAGATCCAACCCTTCATAAATCCTGTTGGCTCTACCTTCAAACTTCAGTCACTTCTCATTACCTTCACTGACCCACTCTTACCTGGGTTATTTCAATAATCTCCTAATTAACCTCAATGCTGCTGCGCTTGCCTAGTGCTACCCTTATCTCACCCTATCTTCAACCCAACAGAAAGATCTATTTAGCACACAACCAGAGCTTTCTGCCTCTGCACAAAAACCCCACTGGCTTCTAGCACTGGAGTAAAAGTCAAAGTTTAAAATGGCTTACACAGCCCTTGATGACCCAACTAGCATTAGCTCTCTAATCTCATCATCTACCACTCTGCTTCTCACCCACGGTTCTAAGCACACTGCTTTCCTTTCTGACTTGGAATGTACTAAGCACATTTTGGCCAAAAGGTTTCCTCACGTACCTGCCTGGCTGGCTCTCTCACTTCTGCCAGGACTCTGCTCAAAGGCCATACAGGTTGGACATACCCAATGTGAAAAATCCAAAACCTCAAAGGCTCCACAATCAAATCAAAAAGTTTTTGAGCATCAACAGGGTAGCACCAGTGAAAAATTCCATATATGACTTCATGTGACAGATGATAGTCAATACTCAAGGGCACTAAAAATACTTGTAAAATTACCTTCAGTCTATGTGTATAGGTATATAGGATGCTACAGATGGTCTTAGCCAAAAGGTCAAGAAGTGTCAAGCATATATGAATCAAATGAATTTCATGTTTAAACTTGGGTCACATCTCTAACATTTTTCATTATATATATGCGAGTATTTGAAAATCCAAAAAAAAAAAAAATCCAAAACATTTCTGGTTTCCAAGCACTTCTGAGTGAGGAACATTCAATTCAATTTGTATCATCAATACTCAATCTGATCATTTCTCCAAAAAGCATTCTCCTAGAGAGACTAGAGAACCTCAAAACACCCACCATTTACTCTGTTTCTCATTACAGCACTTACCACCTACTGATATACTGTGTTTTCAGCTGTCTGTTATCTACCTCCCTTCACTAAAATGTAAGCTCCACTAGGGTAGGCTCTTTACCATCTGCTGTATCCCAGCACTCAAAATTCTGCCTAACACAATAGTTTTGGTTAGCTGGTAGAATGAATCAGTAACCAGAGGGAAAAATGACAGGAATTTGCACTTAGTTTGGGGGATGGGAAGTCCAGGAGTTACAGTAAGGGTTAACAGTTGACCTGTATCTTAAAAGATGCACAGACACTGATGAGGTAAAAGGGGTGGGAGGAAAAGGCATTCCTGTCAGGGAAGGCTGCATGAGTCACACAGATAAGAAAGCATCCTGTAGTGGTGGAGAAGAGGATTAGAGGTGAGATTACAAAGAGTGTAGTGATGCTGGAATATAAAGCAGGAGATTGGGAGAGTCAGAGATGAATCCAGAGAGGCAGCCAGAGGTTCTGGGCACAGAGGAAAACAGGCCATGCTTGAGGCTGGATTTTCTTCTAAAGGCAATGAGAAGCCATTGAAAGATTTTTACACAGGAAAACCACCTTTTCAGACATGCATTTTAAACATAAGTCACTCAAAAGTGGCATTTCTACCAAATTTGAGGAGGATAATGCTAAAGACAGGCAGTGTTACTGCAGAGGAACAGGGAAAATCAGTGAAGGCTTCAATCAGCTGTGGTAACAGATCAGCAAGAAGAGCCAAAAACCATTTAGAAAGTGTAACTGTTATGATTTATGAACTGAATAAATGAAGGAAGGAGAGAAACAACTCCCTCAGATTCCTGGTCTAGTCAGTACGGTAGGTGATGGGATGATCCAGAAGAAATAAGATGATCCAGAAGTTAGAAAAGAGAGCTTGGGGGAGGAGAATTCTAGTTCAGTTTTGGGTTTGGGTGATGACAAAATTGTATAATCTCACTTGTATGAAGAAAAACACATAGTAAGGGTAGAAAGACATAATTAAAAAAAATAAAAGCACTTGGCTTTGTTAGAGATTATGGCTGATTTCCTTTCCACCCACCACTATTTCTACATTTCTCACATCTGAGACTGACACATGAAAATATAAATAAAAACATTTCCAAGACCTGGATTCCAGCCTGCATGTTAGGGGCTTGGAAGTCTGTCTCCCTAAAATTGGTGACAGGCAGAAATGGAGAATCACAACTTAATGACCAGAAACCCAGAGTAAAAGCCTCTGTATGAACAAGGGCCAGGCTAGGAAAACCTGAGCTGCATTTGATGAACTGCGGGAGGCTGAGTGTCCCCAATTCTGCAAGGTAAAAACTCTAGGGAGATCCAATCACGGGGTGCCCCCACACTCTCTTGAGTTTTTCCTTATAGAGCTCTACAGGTCCTCACAGTGGCTGTCTGAAGATGTCCCCTTTTGTTTCCTTCCTGTGTGTCCAGTAGGGGAGGAGGAAAGGAGCCATTCTAAAATATACCAGAGCACTCTATTCTTAACAAGGCCCAGCCTCAAGAGAAACCATTTTATCAGAGCCTAACCTACTGGGATTTCACCAGAATCCCTATCTGGGAAAAGGAAATACAGTAAGCCTGCCTTATATGTGGATTTATTACATGTGATTTTGACTAAGTACAGTAAAAAAAAATAAATAAAAAATATCAAAAGAAATTTCAAAAACAAAAATTTCAGTTTCCGCATGCATTTATGCTGCTCAGTTGATGAGAAGCTCTCGGTTGGTCCACATTGTCAGCTGCATCTAAATCACTGTGCGATCTGCTGAGCGTTGCCCTGTACTGAATTTTGTGAAATACAGTATGATTCCCCAAAAGCAAACGGTACTCAAAAAGCAAAGTAAAAGTGAACATGCTAAATTGAAGTGATCAAGTGAAAATCTTAGATCTGTTGGGAGTCTTCAGTGGATACTGGGCAGTGCTATGGGAAAAATGGATCAAGCCTCTGCAATACAGTACTGAGTTCTCTACATCCCAAGCATCCAGCTGTCACCTTGGAACCACACGACTGCAGGTATGGGGCCTACAATCCAAGTCCAGATCTCTAGTCATCCTGTTTTACTTAGAGGGCAAAAAACGTCTGAGAAGTACTGGTGAAGTTCACAGCAAAGCGTAGTGTCTTTCTAGGGACGTGAAATTACTGTGCATGCATCTACAAGGGTAGATACATGATATTAAACGTTTGTCACACCCACAGGGGCAAAATGCCAAGAGCAAGCCCTGATGTAAACTATGGGCTTCAGGTAGTAAGGTAAAAAACGTACTAATGCGAGGGCATGTCAGTGGCGCATCTGTGCACACTGTGGGGATCGGAGAGAACATGGGAACTCTGTATTTTCAGCTCAATTTTGTCATGTACATGAAACTGCTCATTAATTAAAATAAAAATTTCCAAAGAGCAATATAGATGTTTTTCAGTTCTAGCCACTCCAAATTCCACCTACACCGTGACAGCTGATATTGCTGGTCTGTAATTTTTTCAGCTTGCTCAAAGAGGATTTTAGTACACCTAACCCTACTATTTGGGTACAGTCTGTTTTAATATCTGTATTACAAAAATGTAAACAGGGGCATGACATTATAAAAGCGAGAGCACACAAGGGAGGGGTGAGGATAGGTAAGACACCTAAAAATCTAGCTAGCATTTGTTGCCCTTAACGCAGAGAAACTAAAGCAGATACCTTAAAAGCAACGGAGGCCAATAGAAAAAGGGGACCAGGAACTAGAGAAAAGGTTAGATCAAAAAGAATTAACCTAGAAGGTAACACCCACGCACAGGAAATCAATGTGAGTCAATGCCCTGTATAGCTATCCTTATCTCAACCAGCAAAAACCCTTGTCCCTTCCTATTATTGCTTATACTCTCTCTACAACAAAATTAGAGATAAGGGCAAAATAGTTTCTGCTGGGTATTGAGGGGGTGGGGGGGAGAGGGAGGGGGTGGAGTGGGTGGTAAGGAAGGGGGTGGGGGCAGGGGGGAGAAATGACCCAAGCCTTGTATGCACATATGAATAATAAAATTAAAAATAAATAAATAAATAGAAAAAATAAATAAATAAAATAAACAGGGGCATGGCTCAAATAGAGCACTTGCCTACTAAGAACAAGGCCCTGGTTCAATCCCCAGTAGCCTCACAAAAATTAAAAAAAATAAACAAATAAAGATTAAAAAAAAAAGATGAACAGTCCCAGAAGCTAAGTGACCTGCTGTAAGAGTAGCAGTAG